GGCGCCCCCGTCCCCCCCCCCCCCCCCCAGGCCTCCCTCCCCTCACCCCCTGCAGCACACACTCCAGCCAAACCTCCAGGAGCTGCTGGTGGTTAAACCTAAACGCCTCACTTTTAATTTCATTAAGAAACAAAGGTTGGAGTTGAACCTGGTTCACATCCTACACTTTATTATAACAAACAGAGACAACAGGTTAATAACAGGTTAATAACAGGCTCTGTTTTTAATTTTTACATCACACAAATGGACATTAGAAATTTAGGTTCAAATGTTGGAAATGACGGTGCATTTTTAATTTACAAAAACATCACCAAACACTGTGATGATGTTATTTTTTTTAACCAAACACCTGAGTGTGTATTTTTGAAGTTGCTGACTTTAAAAAAAAGCTGTTTTTGTTTTTAAGCCTAGTTTGGTGTAAACGTCTCTACAGAACCTGCTTCAGTGCTGGGCCTGGAGAACACGTCTCCATGGTAAATCTGTTGACTGGAGAGAGTGTCTTTGTTGTTTGTGTCTTTGTAGCATCACATGTGAAGCTGCTGTCTGTTGTGTTGGATACGTTGTGCTCAGGTCCTGCTCCTAATTGGTCGAATTTTCAGGCTAAGTTTATTTTTCTCCATGGAAATTTTCCAGACGACGAATAATGAAACCCAGCCAGTAGAGAAACAGCTTTTGTTGTAACTGACATGTCACCATTAAGGCTGTGTGTTTACAGCTGCAGGGTATAAATCACACTTATATATAAATATATAATATAAATATATTTGAGCATCAGTCGGCCTTTTCAGCTGAAAGATTCTGCTGGTAGAAAATATTCAAATATATCCTAAAACTTTACACCGTGGCCCTCGAACAGAGACTTCCCGTTTGGTTTTGTCTGAGAAAATAAACAACAGTCCTTCAGTGATGAGGACTTGTTACTTGTCAGATCAACTTTGTCCTCTTTGCCGTTGCTTAATTACCGACCATGTCAGGACAAAAGACGGCAGCTCTCCTCTGGGGCTGAGGCGTGAGCTGACACTGACAGAAATTCATGCAGGCTGCTCCGCCACATTTATTTCAACAGCCAATTTAATGATTTGAAAGGCTGGAATTAGGAGAACACAGTCTGGTGTTCGACACGTGTGTCAGAACTCGGTTCTCTCTGTTTCATGTCACACGTGCAAAGATTGAGGTGGTGTGTGTGTGTGTGTGCTGGGTTTGTTTTTTTAATTTTTGGTTACACAAAAACCAGTTCTTTGCACATGAGAGCTACAGGCTTTGTAATCAGCACATCAGCGTCACAGATCTGAGGGTCTGGATCTGCCTCGCTGTGTTCTCTCAGCGTGGATCACAGACTGTATCAATCTGCCAGAGGAAAGGTGATCCGAGGACACGGGGAGTGATCAGCGCTCCAGGTGTCTGAGGACGCGCTGATTCTTTACTTTTCCTCACTCAGAAAACCAGAGGATGACACGGTGGGAGTGTGTGACAGGACAGCAGAGGTCTGCTGACACGGCTGCACATGCAGATCAAAGCAGGGGCTGACCGCTGTGTGTGTGTGTGTGTGTGTGTCAGCGCCGGAGAGAGGGACGGTCAGGGGAGCAGTGGATCTTATCTGAGTCTGACAGGGAGAGGGACAACGCTGCCAATAGATACTAAGCCAACTGCCACCTTGCAGGGTTACGGTGCTTTTTATAGCTCCAACATCTGAAAAAAAGAAAAAGAAAAAAGAAAAAAGAAAAGAAAAAGCAGCCACAGATCCTTTTCTGCTCCAGTCTCTCGTTGTGTTCTTTGGAGTGTTCCACTTTTAAAATGTTCTTATTCCTCATTTAGAAGGTGAGATCTTTTTAAGCCCCCTGTTACTATGGCAACCCCTATTTGCATCTGAGAAAGTGTGTGTGTGTGTGTGTGTGTGTGTGTGAAGGGACCGACCAAATGTGCTACAACACGCCACAGCGCCGCGTTGGCCACGTCCAGCATCAGAGTGTTCTGACCTGAGGACTGGGTTTAACAGGTTTAACAGGAGATTATACTAGTTAATAACAGCTGTGAGTGTGGGTCATCAGGGGTCAACCCAAAATAAACACTCACTGACTTATTTTGATGCTTATTTTATCATCAAAATATATCAAAGAAATCATTTGAAGTTTTGATATTTATAGATTCTATGGTTTCATGTTTTTTTGTGGTGATTCTTTCTGATTTTTTTATCATCAAACTATATCAAAGAAATCATTTGAAGTTTAGATATTTATGGATTCTATGGTTTCATGTTTTCACTTTTTGTGGTGATTCTTTCTGATTTTTTGTATTTATTAACTAAATAACAAAATATTTATGCCATTTATCTTGCACTAAATTAATTATTTTTGGCCTTTGACTATAAACAACAAAGCTTTTCACCTCGGTCTAATGACAAGGCTGATCGAGGGAACACAGTCTGGACTTGTTTGGTGTAAACGAGGTCAGTTTTATTCTCAGGTCTGGACATATCATCAACAAGGAGCCCACGTACCAGAAGTGGTCCTTGCACCATAGTTTGGGAAACTCTGTTTTTGAGCCTCGCAGCAGTTTAAAGTTGTTTTTCAGTCAAAGAAAAAAAATCCCATCAAATGGTTGTTGTTGTTACACTGATAACTACAGCTGTGTGAATACATTTGTTACAGTGTTGTTATTACCATAACGTTGTTTTATGAGACAGAAACACCAATAGAATTGAACAGTCATTCAAGGTACAATCGATCCAGAACATTCAAGTTTGAAGCGAATGCTCCTCATGATCTCACTCTTATCTGCTTTTTTTTTTAAACTATTTTGTGTCGATGTAATACTGTCACACCTACTGAGTCAAAAACACAACGTGGCGACATGGAGCTAAATATAGCAGCCTAAAAGGCTTGACACGCCAGCTTGGAGGAGGAGACGTGAGATGAGACGCACACTATTGACAAAGGCTTGTTCTGCTGCTCATCAGGAAATATGGAACATTACTCCCTTTACAAATGATTCGCTCTTGGCATTTGGGAGGAATAAAAAACAATCCCATATATTGGATTTGTGGGGGTCTATTTACCAGGCTGCACTGTTGTATCACCACAGACGCTCTGGACGCTCTGGACGGTCTGGACGGTCTGGACGGTCTGGACGGTCTGTTCTCCCGATGGCCGGCACTTTGTTGATTTGTTGATTTGATGATTTGATGGTTTGTTGGTTTGATGGTTTGATGGTTTGTTGGTTTGATGGTTTGTTGGTTTGATGAATTGATGATTTGATGATTTGATGGTTTGATGGTTTGATGATTTGATGGTTTGATGGTTTGATGATTTGATGGTTTGATGGTTTGATGATTTGTTGATTTGTTGATTTGATGGTTTGATGGTTTGAAGGTTTGAAGGTTTGATGGTTTGATGGTTTGATGGTTTGATGGTTTGATGGTTTGATGGTTTGATGGTTTGATGGTTTGATGGTTTGATGGTTTGATGGTTTGATGTGATAAGCCTGTTAGGAAACACTTCCACGTGCATTTACTGTAATCACCACGGCTGAGGGGTCGCTGGAGGTAATTGGAGAGTGGGTAAAAAGAGAGGGTCAAATCCCCCGGGGGCCGTGATCTGTCACTGGAACAAAAACAAAGTTAAAGAGAAAAAAAAACATAGGCTACATTATAAACTGCTGACAATTGACTCTCATGTTTGTTTGTTTGTTTTTTTCAGTATTAACTCACCGTCACGTTTAATCATGACAACCAGAAGTCTCTGGAGCTGCGCTGTGAGGACGTCAAAGACTGTGATGAGTGGGTCGCTGCTATTACACAGGCCAGGTACCTCACACACACACACACACACACACACACACACACCATCTCTAGCCTGCTCTCTGTGTGTGTGTGTGTGTTTGTCGGGATAACTATACCTGTGGGGACATTTCTTGTTGTCATGGGGACATTTTGTCAACATGGAGACATGGTTTTTTTCCAGGTCACCACTCAGAGAATATTCACGTTCCAAATTAAGATTAGAGTTAGGATTAGAACAAGGCTCAGATTAGACTAAGATTAGACATGAAGATTAGTCAAATATTGGTCAGAGTTAACACTACAACTAGTGTGTGTGTGTGTGTGTGTGTGTGTGTGAGGGAGGGTGGGGGGGTGAGAGGTGGGGGTTAGAAACATATTGGTAATTTAATGAAGTCAATTATTAAAAAGTACTTTTGTACTTTTTTACTCATGCAACAGCAACCCCAGTGGTCTGTAACTGTAACTGCAACTGTAACTGTAACTGTAACTGTAATGAACCATTGACCAGATGCACAGTGATGGCATTGGTTTCAAAATAGGTTGTATAACTGAAAGAGTGAGGAGAAAAAAACGACTTCTTATTCTGTTCCCACAGAGAGTCGACTGTTTCAGTTCTTTTTAATATTAAAAAAAAGTTAATTTTCTAAATGGAGTCCTGGTCCTGGAGGAAGGAGTGTGTGATTGACAGCTTCTCAAACCAGACGAGCAGTTCTGGCTGACGTGTGTGTGGCACGACTGCAGATCAGTTCAAAAAGCAACAAATCCTGGTTCCTGTGATGCAGTCGCTGCACATTCACAGACAGTCATTAAAGACAAGCAGCTCAATCAGTCCAAATGTGGACAGTGGACATTTGTACGCTGAAAGGTCAATTGATTGGTCTCATTGAAGATCACATTGATCGGCGTTCAGTCCAGGCAGCAGTGACTGACTGTAGAACGGGGAACGTCGGCCGAGCAGCGTGTGAACACGACAGGATGAAGTCGATCTACGACCGCTTCACTTTCACATCTCTGACCGAGGTGTTTATTTGTCTGTACCTTAGTTTAAATTCAGTGAATTAAAAAAAAAGTTGTTTTTAGATAAATGTTGAGTGAATTAAAAAAAAGTTGTTTTTAGATAAATGTTATTTACTCTGCACTGATCTCAGGCCGTACTGAGCAGGGACACACTCGGCCTCTGTGGTTTTATTGGCTCCCGTGTGTGTGTTCCTGTGTGGTGTGGGGTTCAGACGTCGGCCAATCACAGGCCCTGGTGGTTTTACTACGTCAGCGGAGAGCTGAAGGAACAGGTATTATAATTAACGAGCTCCTGCTCTGCGTCTGTGTGCAGTTACAGGAACCTGGCCACGGAGCACGAGGGCCTCACGCAGAAGTACCTCCATCTACTCCAAATCGTGGAGACTGAGAAAACGGTTGCCAAGCAACTTCGACAACAGATTGAGGACGGGGAAATTGAGATAGAGCGACTAAAATCAGAGGTAACCTGTCAGGGTGTGTTTGTGTGTTTGTGTGTTTTGTCAGTGTGACACGTGGTAACAGGAAAAAAAGACTGTTATGTGACAGAGAAGGTGCAGGACGTTATGTGTTATGTGACAGAGAAGGTGCAGGACGGAGGTTCTAACCCTGGGTTTTAACCACACAGTTGTTATTATTAACTCAGATGTATCAAATGTATCAAATGTATAGAGAATTCAATGACTTTTGTGTCGTTTCATTCTGTTTGAATCCATTGAATGTCGTTCCAATTCACTGTCGCTGCTACTCACTGATGTGGAAGATCAATCAATCAATCAATCAATCAATCAATCAATCAATCAATTAATAAAACACTCTGGTTGAATTTTCAGATTTCTGGATTGCTGAAGGACAACGAAAAAATCCATTCAAATCCAGAAGTTCTGCCCAGTGATGATGACACTGAGATCAAGAAGATCAAGAAGGTGAGATCAGACGGTGGAACCTTCTTTACCATGAAAACCCGGAGCAGGTTCAGGTCCTGGACTGGAGTCAACCTGGGCTGAGCTGCACAGAAACGTCTCTGTGTAGAACTCAACTCCATCCATGTTGTTTTTTTCTCTGTAAAATCCTCTGATCCAACATGGTGGCCTCACCACCAACCCCTGCCTGTAGGTCCAGAGTTTCCTGCGTGGTTGGATTTGCCGCAGGAAGTGGAAGACCATCATCCAGGACTACATCCGGTCGCCGCATGCTGAAAGCATGAGGAAGAGGAACCAGGTGGTGTTCAGCATGCTGGAGGCCGAGGCGGAATACGTCCAGCAACTCCACATTCTGGTCAACAACTTCCTGCGTCCACTCCGCATGGCCGCCAGCTCTAAGAAGCCGCCAATCACACACGATGACGTCAGCAGCATCTTCCTCAACAGGTGGAGTGATGATGATGATGATGATGATGATGATGGTGATGATGATGATGATGATGATGATGTTGATGGTGATGATGGTGATGGTGATGATGATGATGGTGAAGTTGGTGGTGATGTTGGTGGTCGTTGTCTACAGTCAGTCCTGACCGTTGTTGTTGTTCTTCTTCTTCTTCTTCCCTCCTCAGTGAGACCATCATGTTCCTTCACCAAATCTTCTACCAAGGCCTGAAGGCCAGGATAGCCAGCTGGCCAACACTGGTCCTGGGTAAGAGACACGGAGGTTTTATCTGTTTTATTCCTTCGTTTTCTCGTGACTTTGTCGAATATTTTCATCATTATTTACTTTATTTCAACTCTGTTGGTTTAAATGTTTTAAATGTTTTAAATGTTCAGATTCCATGAAGTTCAGACAGTGAACTGATGTGAACTGATGTGAACTGATGGAGTGACTGATGCAGTGACTGATGCAGTGACTGTGGAGTGACCACTGGTCCACACACTGTAAACACCAATGATTGTTGTTTACTACAGCGCATCCTGTTCCATTTATCAAATTATGATTTATTGAGGCCACGGATCTGCATTAATTAACTTTCTGAAATGTTTGTCTGTAAATTTAACAACTCAGCTGAGACGGAGGTTCAGGTTTGGGTTTTTTCTCACGTGTCATCGTCCTCGTCTGTGTCAAAACTGAAAACTAAAACCATGACGATTGGTCTGTGTGTGTTGGACAGCGGACCTGTTCGACATCCTGCTGCCCATGCTGAACATCTACCAGGAGTTTGTGAGGAACCACCAGTACAGTCTCCAGATCCTGGCCCACTGCAAACAGAACCGGGACTTTGACAAACTGTTGAAACAGTACGAGGCCAAACCGGACTGTGAGGAGAGGACGCTGGAGACCTTCCTCACTTACCCCATGTTTCAGGTAAGATTCAAACCCGGTTCACCCCTGATCCTGATCCTGTAGATGAAGATCCACGGGGCGGTCAGGGAAATGCCCCGAGGGTTTATTTTTATTGCAACAATTTAAGATCAATTTCAGTATAAAAATGTTCTCATCTCTGTGTGAACTCCTAATTTATGGAAATGAAGTGATCTTTCAAATGAAATTAATTAAAATCATAGATTGTATAAAGTAATTCATCAGTTAAAGTAAATTCAACAGTCTCCTAATTTATGGAAATGAAGTGATATTTCAAATGAAATTAATTAAAATCAAAGATTGTATAAAGTAATTCATCAGTTAAAATAAAAATATCAGAGTGTTCTCGCACTAATTGCCCCTCTCTGTCAGATCCCTCGCTACATCCTGACGCTGCATGAGCTCTTGGCTCACACGCCCCACGAACACGTGGAGAGGAACAGTCTGGATTACGCCAAGTCCAAGTTGGAGGAACTTTCCAGGTACATCGTCTTTTAATGAGTCAAATATTCAAAGAGTTTGTTTGGAGGGGAATCGTTCAGATGAGGTCCTGAGATCATTTGATTTTTTTTTTTTTTTGAACTTTCACAGAATCATGCACGATGAGGTGAGTGAGACGGAGAACATCAGGAAGAACCTGGCCATCGAGCGGATGATCGTGGAGGGTTGTGAAGTGTTGTTGGACACCAGCCAGACGTTCGTCAGACAAGGTGAGTCTGTGGTTACTGTCTCTGAGTCGTCGGTACTGTTGGCTCTGTGTTTGGGTCACGGCACATTCTCTTCTGTCCTTTTTCACTCTGTTAATACACACGTGTAGAGTGAAACCCCATTCGTACTAACATGTACTCTAATTAATAAGTACTCTAATTAATAAGTACTCTGTAAGGACAGGCAGTGGTCAGTGTTTTTGACCGACAGGTACGAGCTCAGCAGCTACTGCTCCACTGAATGGATGTGATCTGTATATATTTGTCCAGATGGATTTCTTATACTATTGTTATTTTATTATTGTATGTTAATATGTTGAGCACAGATATTAAGAGTTCAGACCTGTAAGAGAACTCTGTGATCTGTTCCACAGGGTCACTGATCCAGGTGCCGATGAGTGAGAAGGGGAAGATCACGAGAGGTCGACTGGGCTCTCTCTCTCTGAAGAAGGAGGGCGAGCGACAGTGTTTCCTCTTCTCCAAACACCTCATCATCTGCACCAGAGGCTCAGGAGGAAAACTACACCTCACTAAAGTATAGTAGAGTTTTACATTTAAAAAATCACAGTGACAGTGTTTGTCGACATGTTTTAACCCGGACGCCCCGTTACAGAACGGAGTGGTGTCTCTGATCGACTGTACACTGCTGGAGGAAGCTGAAGGCGCTGATGATGAGAGTAAGTCACACACTCACTATCCCTCTGCAGACTTTAGATCACAGGTCCAGGTTTGAAATCAAAATCACAGGTTAAATGAACAAATTCAACAGGTAACACCGTTTTCCACCTGGTCCGAGGCTTCTCTCAGTTTAAACCACAGTTTTGAGTCATACACGCAGAGATTTGATGAATGTAAAGTTTGGTTCTTGTGTCCTGCTCAGCCAGAGGAGAGCGAGGCGGTCAGGACACCGAACACCTGGACTTTAAAGTGATGGTGGAGCCAAAGGACGGACAGACGTACACCGTCATTCTGGTGGCTTCGTCCCGACAGGAGAAGTCGGCGTGGACCAGTGACATCAGCCAGGTCCGTGTCTTTAGTCTTCACACAGACAAATGTCCTCACAAAAAACAAGTGAATAAATATTTAATTATTTTGTTATTTTGTCAGTGGAAAGAATTATATTTCAGTTCAGAAAATCCTGTGTAAAGGCTCAGATCAGGACGTCCTTTTGTCTGAAGCAGGTTTTGTTGGTGTTTGATCTCCATCTCCTTCACCTTCACAGTCAACTCTTCCTCTGTCTGCGTTGTTTCAGTGCATCGACAACATCCGCTGTAACGGCCTGATGATGAACGCCTTTGAGGAGAACAGTAAAGTCACCGTGCCACAGATGATCAAGTAAGAACCCAGCAGACACAGCCAATCACAGACGTCCTCTCCGGCCAATCCCAGTGAGTGACACGCCTCACCTGTCTTACATCATCACAGGTCGGACACCAGCTTGTACTGCGACGACGTGGACATTCGCTTCAGTAAGATGATGAACTCCTGCAAGGTGCTGCAGATCCGCTACGCCAGCGTGGAGCGGCTGCTGGAGAGGCTGACCGACCTGCGCTTCCTCTCCATCGACTTCCTCAACACCTTCCTTCTCTCCTACCGCGTCTTCACCAGTGCTGACGTGGTGCTGGACAAGCTCATCACCATCTACAAGAAGCCCATCAGCGCCATCCCTGCACGGTGAGTCTTTGGTTTAGAACAATCCTGGAGTTTTGGAGCGTGTCAGAGATGATTGTGGTTAAAGTCTGAGTTCAACACCAGTGTTTGTAAATCTGATCGTTCTCACTTTCAAAGTCTAGGAGGAAAGTTGATGTGTTCAGCTGGAGAAGTTTAGACCAGGAGTCAGTGATGTCAAAGAAGTGATAGAGAAAAAAAAACATTGTCAAAAGAAATTGAATTGACAGTTTTAGGTACCAACCTCACCAGGTAAACTTTGGTTTCAAAGGCTTCAAAGTACTACAGTACTATTGAGTACTATTGTCTCTGTCCAGTAAGGATGTTGACCTGTGGACATGTTTGTCAGTTTGGACGCAGCCTCAGCTGAAACCTTCCATTACAGTCAACTCTTTCTCAGAATCGATTTGCCCATATTTCCTCCTGAGCAGCAGCAGCAGCAGCAGCAGGAACAGTAACAGCAGCAGCAGCAGTAACAGCAGTAACAGCAGCAGCAGCAGTAACAGTAACAGCAGCAGCAGTAACAGCAGCAGCAGCAGCAACAGCAGCAGCAGCAGCAGCAGCAGTAGCAGTAGCAGCAGCAGCAGCAGCAGCAGGAACAGTAACAGCAGCAGCAGCAGTAACAGCAGCAGTTGTTGAACTGATGCAGTGAAAAGATTAGAAAATCCTCCCGTTGTGTCTGAGTTTGTCTCAGTGCTCACGTGTTCGTGGTCTCAGAGCTGCTCCTCAGGCTGAATACATGTCCAGGTGAGATGGGACCAGGGAGTGATAGGCCACACACACACACACACACTCAGTCCACTACCACTACTTATTGGGTCCAGTGTCCACCCACTTCTTCTTGACCCCTCCTCTCCTCCTCCCCTCCTCTCCTCTCCTCCTCTCTTCTTCTCTTCTCTTGCTTTTATTTTTCTTTCCACAAGTCTGACCATCCCTCACTCCGCTGCGCCGTCACCATGGCAACCCCTCACTCTGCTGCAGGACTCCACCCTCTCTACTTCTCTCCTTGTCTTTTCCCTCCCTCCATCTCTCCTCCTCACCCCTTCTCCCACCATCTGCAGTGGCTCTACTGTATTAAATATTGATGGTGGTGTTTTGAACCCAGACCACCCTCCCCTCCCCTCTCCTCCCCTCTCCTCCCCTCCCCTCTCCTCTCCTCTCCTCTCCTCTCCTCTCCTCCCCTCTCCTCTCCTCTCCTCTCCTCCCCTCTCCTCTCCTCTCCTCCCCTCTCCTCTCCTCTCCTCCCCTCTCCTCTCCTCTCCTCTCCTCTCCTCCCCCCCCCCCTCCCCCCCCCCCCCCCCCCCCCCCCCTCCCCTCCCCTCCCCTCTCCTCCCCTCCCCTCTCCTCCCCTCTCCTCTCCTCTCCTCTCCTCTCCTCTCCTCCCCCCCCCCCTCCCCCCCCCCCCCCCCCCCCCCCCCCTCCCCTCCCCTCCCCTCTCCTCTCCTCTCCTCCCCTCTCCTCTCCTCTCCTCCCCTCTCCTCTTCCTTCCTTCACTCCCCCACTCCTCTCATTGTGGCTCATCTCGTCTGCTTTCTTGTTTTACTGTTAAACAAATTTGAACAGAGACACAACATGGCTGCAGCCGACACCAGGAGGGTTCCCGTTCGCCCACTCCAAGTCAGCAGCCTTCACTGTGGAGGAATCCACATCCAAGATCCTTCTCCTCTCTCTCTCTCTCTCACCCCCCGCCACCCCCTCCCTAACCATCCTTATATGGCCCGCCTGTTCTCAGTGCTGCTTGCTCCCCGTGTCTCTGTGGTCCTCCCCTGGGCTGGTTGCTGTTGGCAGCACCCGTGCCTCCCACACTGTCACTTGACATGCTATTTATAGGCCTTCAGAGGGGGTGGCTCTCAGTGCAAGGAGGATGCTGTCTTAAACAATGTAGCTTAAATAAAAGGAGGCAGATCTCCTGAGGAGCCCCGTGTTAACGTGTCCCTGCACCGCCGCCACCGCCGCCACCGCCACCGCCGCCGCCGTCGTCCCAGGTTATTAAAACCTCTTCCCAGGTGTTTCTTCTTAGTCCAACTTGTTTATTGTCCTCTCTTCTCCCCCCTCCCTCGATCCCGTGCCTTCGCAGTTCTTTGGAGCTTTTCTTCGCCAGCAGCCAGAACAACAAACTGCTCTACGGCGAGTCACCCACGTCACCGCACGCCGGCCGCAAGTTCTCCTCTCCTCCTCCGCTCTCCATCACCAAGACGTCCTCGCCCAACCGCCATCGCAAACTCTCCCTCAACATCCCCATCATCACCGGGGGCAAAGCCCTGGACCTGGCTGCGCTCAACTGCTCCCCCAATGGCTACACCGGCATGCACACCTCCATGTCCCCCTTCTGTAAGACCAGCCTGGACATCAACAAGCTGTATGTGTCCAGCACCATGGCCAGTAAAATCCCTGATGATGGAGAGTCCAAAGCTGAAGGCAGGGCTGAGGAGTCGGCCCTGAACAAACAGGGTTGGTGTCACATTTACGACACATCTGTGTGAACCTTGATTGGAAATACACACAAAACTACACAGTTTACACAAGTAGTGGCGAAAATGTAAAATAAATAAAATCACATTATAATATATTGGTGAAAATGTAAAATAAAAATAAATAAAATCACATTATAATATAATTAAAAATAAAATTTGTTTTTAAAACAGTTTCTAAAAAATTCTAAAACAGTTAAGTCTGGAGGTGATAATTTAAAGGTTTAATATATTAAAGCTTTTAATTATAAAACTTTAATGTTTTTAAATGTTTTTTAATTTTTTCGAAGAACATTTTTTCATCCAGTATTTGTAAAACTTTAATGTTTTGAAGAACATTTTTTCATCCAGTATTTGTGGATTTATTGTCGTTTTTCTTCTGTTCTTGGCAGATATGTCGGTGAGAGAAGAATGTAATGAAGATCCAGGACAAAGTGATGAGACAGAAGCAGAAACGTCTCCTCCCAAGAGTCCGTCCACTCCCAAGAATGTCAAGTCCAAGAACTCTGGTACAGTAGGACCGTGTGGTCCATCCTGGTGTTGTCAACATCACCACACCGTCGGTGCCTCAGGTGTGGTGATGGTTCAAGTCCGACTGTCCCTGAGATCGACTTCAAACACAGCCCTGACGGTTTAGAAGAAAGTTTTTGATTACGACAACTGTTGTCAAAACCAAATATGGTCTTGGCAAAAAAAACCCAAACCAAAACACCCACAGCCTTGTGGCCCTTCCCGCTCTGCAGAGAGAGGGAGCATCCACCCCGTGGGTAGTCAGGCACAATTCATCTCCAGTGTGTTCTCTTCCCACGTTGTTAGATACAAGGGAAGCCAATGTCTTGTGTGTGTAGGTGGAAGGAAACCTTGTACCTTAGCAACCATGTGCGTGTTCTTCTATACCACCCCCGGCTGAACGGAGGAAGACAGGGAGGAAGGAGGGAGGAAGGAGGGAGGAGAGAGGAGAGAGGGAGGGAGAAGTGTGCACCGTACACTGTGTGCCTACAGGAGGCACCCTGCTGCATCTGTCAGCTCTTTGTTCCCCTCTAGTGGTCAACGACTTCACAGAGCTGTAGTTGGACATGAAGTTAGAATGTAGTTTTACACATCCAGAGTTCAGAGCACATAAAATATAGAAATAAAAATAGAAAATTACACCACTGAAATAGAAGAGAAAATGAAATAATAAAATAATCTGTCAATGATATTAACCATAAAACCAATGCTAAAATAAAAACACAGAGTCGGACAAAGGATGTCATTAATAGCATAAAATAATTATTTTAAATTCAATTTAAATTGTTATGAAAAGACAACAGGTCATTTCTTTAAATGAACGAGTGAATCAACAACACAGAGTCCTATGGAATTTCAATTTGCAATGTTTTTGATGCTGCTGGTCTCAGTTGTCTGTTTGTTTATTTGAATTTCCTGTCAAATGTCTGATTGTGACTATTTACTCTTGTTGTCCACATGAGAAAATGTCTGACTATTTACTCTTGTTGTCCACATGAAGTCATTAGTTTAAATTCCACTGACCAGTAAAACTGTTGCTCCCTCTGAATCCCCTCTGTCTCTGCTGCAGAGTTTTCTCTCTTCTCCTTCAACAATGGCATGTTGGTGTCGTCATGTCGGGAGCTGGACAACAACCGCAGCGCCCTCTCTGCTGCCTCTGCCTTTGCTATCGCGACCGCCGGTGCCAACGAAGGGACGCCAACCAAGGAGAAGTACCGCCGCATGTCTCTGGCCAGCTCAGGTCGGTCACATGACACGTGGATCGTTCTGCTGTTATTGAATGAAATCACAGATTTGTCCAAAGACTTGAATCAGGCTTTTTAAACCACATTTTTTGATTGAAGTGAATTGAGCTGAATACCAACTCCAGATTCAGCCAATAACTGTGTTTCTCCTTCATATATTTGTAATTAGATAGCAACAATTAATACACTTTCTTCATCAATATTAGTCCCTCCAAAAACATATAAACAAAAATAAAAATACATCAAATCCAGACTGTACACTGGAGCTGCAGTACGAGCAGGACAGAGTAAAAAGAAAAACTGTTGTCATTTAACCCTGGTAGGAAATGGAGTTTATCACATACAACTTGAAGGAGCCCTCAGTGGTCTGTGATCCATACTTTGAGAACTGATGTAGATCAGTGGAGTGGATGCAGAGTTTCTCTTTGTACCGACGAGTTCATCACCAGTTCCTACGTCATGTTGAAAACACTCACCACCTTCCACTGACGCTGGGTCATCTCTCTCTCTACCTGACCACAGGTTTCCCCACTGACCAAAGGCACGGAGACAAAGAGTTTATCATCAGACGAGCCGCCACCAACAGAGTCCTGAACGTCCTGCGTCACTGGGTGTCCAAACATTCACAGGTGCAGTGCCGTCCGCGTCATTCTTTGCTCTGGTCTCCTTTAAAGAGAACGTCTTCAGTGACACTGATGTTGGTCCTCAGGACTTTGAGCTGAACACCGAGCTGAAGACACGAGTAATTGGATTCCTGGAGGAGGTGATGCATGACCCAGAACTCCTCACCCAGGAGAGAAAGGCGGCTGCCAACATCATCAGGTGGGTTTTCTGATGTCACTCCTTTTGTGTACGTTTCCAGGACAGAAGAGGAGCGCAGCGGAGCGCTGTGACTGACCTCCTCTTCAACGTAATCACAAACGGCTTCTTCACAAACGGCAGAGTTTTTTAGAAACTAGTCATGGTGTTTTTGTCAGCCACTTATCTCCTCAAGGTCAATAGACGCTCAGACAGAAGTGTTGAATAATGGAACCTTTGCTTTTCTTGTTTCTAGGACTCTTTCTCAGGAGGACCCTGGAGACAACCAGGTCACTCTGGAGGAGATCACACAGATGGTGAGGGGGAAAAAGGACTCTCAGGTGTGACAGGATATCATTGTGCTAACACAGAGTGTGTGTGTGTGTGTGTGTGTATCAGGCCATGGACGACTGTAAGACTGAACCCTTCGAGAGCCATTCTGCCCTGGAGATAGCCGAGCAGCTCACTCTCCTGGACCACCTGGTTTTTAAGGTCATCCCTTACGAGTAAGTGGAAAAAAAACCCACACAGAATGTGGTGCATTTTTTGTTATTGTAAACTGTGTGTTTTATTGTGTTTCTACAAAAAAACCCACACAGAACGTGGTGCGTTTTTTGTTATTACAAACTGTGTGTTTTATTGTGTTTCTACAGGGAGTTCTTTGGTCAAGGCTGGATGAAGAATGACAAGAACGAGAGGACTCCATACATCATGAAAACAACGAAACACTTCAACGATGTACGTGACAGCTGTCACTGCACAGGGTTTTTTTTCAATCTCACATTAACTCATTTTAGTATTTTTTATCATTGGTTTCAACTGGTAGGTCAGAGAAAAGTGATGGATCTAATTACAATAATTCTTTTTATTCGTTTCCTGACATGAAAAAGCTCCACAGCTCCATGTGTGAAGCAGCATTCACACACTGTGGTTTTGTCTCCGTCAGATCAGTAACAGGATCGCCACAGAGATCCTGGCCTGGGATGATGTCAACACACGCGCGGGGGTGGTTGAGAAGTGGGTGGCGGTGGCCGACATCTGCCGCTGTCTCCACAACTACAACGCTGTACTGGAAATCACCTCCTCTCTCAACCGCAGTTCCATCTTTCGCCTGAAGAAGACCTGGCTGAAAGTCTCCAAACAGGTGCTTGGGGTTTTATTAACTTTAGTTTATATCTAAAATAATTAGCTAGTAACTGAATTTATCTTTCTTTGAAAAGACAAAGACTGTGATCGACAAGTTACAGAAACTGGTGTCGTCAGAGGGACGGTTCAAAAACCTAAGAGAAGCTCTGAAGAAGTAAGAATCCTCGTCCACACGTTATATTTATTCTTTTTATTTTTGAGTAAATTGTTGATTTTGTTCGTTTGCCTTCCGTCAGCTGTGACCCTCCGTGTGTCCCTTACCTGGGGATGTACTTGACGGACTTGGCCTTTATTGAGGAAGGAACACCAAACTACACTGAAGACAATCTGGTCAACTTCTCCAAGATGAGAATGGTAAAACATGTCTCAAACTCAAACTGGTGGATTTCTCTGGATGTTGATTTAATAACAAAATCACTGTAGATAACTGTACAGTTGTAGGGATGAAGATCACTGTAGATAACTGTACAGTTGTAGAGTTGGAAAATGGTTCTTGGACAAATTGAATTAAACTCTACTTCTCTACATCTTCTCCAGTGAAGTCTTATCAAATCTACCAGTGTTGTGTCTTTAGTCCAGGTCACGACCTGATTCTCAGTTCCTTTAAGATGATTGGAGCTTCAGTGGAATGATCAATAATCATATGTTTATGGCTTAAACATAGACTGTGACTCCTGTGGAAATTATGACATGTTCAAAAACGTCTTTCTTTAAAGGACATCGATGCCTCCTGTATAATATCGATCTTTGTTGATCTACAGATCTCTCACATCATCAGGGAGATACGACAGTTTCAGCAAACAGCTTACAAGATCGATTATCAACCAAAGGTGAGACTTGTTATAATGTGGACATCTTTACAGTCACTGATCTAGATTTTTAGATGCTGGAATGCAGTAAGTCGTAAATTCTTCATTTTATATACATATAAAAACCCACTTTGTTTTCTGCTCAGTTGTCATCTTGATCATCTAAAACTAAACTTTCTTCATCCTCATGAACAGTGCATCATTGACAATGGCCCTGTTTATTCCTCCTTCAGGCAGCAAAGTACTTGCTGGACAATAGTACCATGCTGGATGAAGACAGTCTGTATGAAGCGTCTCTGAGAATCGAACCTAAAACTTCATCATGAAGACTCTGACTCACAGGGACTCTGGACTGACGTGATATGATCATGTACATATGTTATTCTTTCTACTAGAGCCTGTAGGTTGTTCTCCTTTAGTCTGTGCTCCCAGATGGACCCACCGTGTATAACTGTTATTAGAACCCCAGTAGAAGCCCACCGAGGTTTTATTTATCTGGTCACAGAGTATTTATAATATGGTTATTTATCGTGACTTATTTTCATCCACACTCACACAGAACAGATCACAGATGAGAGAGTTTACAGACGGTTACAGAACTGACACGTGACGGTCCAACAAAAACAGCACATAATAAAGGTCCCAGTGATCCGCTCTGAACCGTAACATGAATGCAAAATCCCACCTTCTCGCTGCATGAGTGTTTATATCAACCGTTCATTTGACTAGGGATCAGTGGTAAACAGTTATGAATGTATACAGGGAACGGCTGTTACTCACCAAGATTACAAATTTTATTTTTGTGGTATTTTTGAAAATCTCAACAATGCATAAATATTTTTGAAAGTGCAATATATGTGAAGGCTGAAGCTATATTAGGGCTGCACAATTTTGATATATAAAATAAGTTTCTTTACTAGAGGGGTGGGTTTTGTCCTTCCTGAGTTAATCTGTAAATTTGGATCTGACAGAAGACGTGACACATGAAAAGTTACGTTACTGTTTATCTCACTATTGTTGCTTTTGCTAATGCTAACATCTTATGTTTTAAGTGTTTTTGTTAGTTAGCTGTTGGCTAAAACTATTGATGCTAGCTATAGCAGCTTAGTCATGCTGAAGCTGCTGGTGTCCATCGTGGTTCATGGTAAACGTTACCTACAGACTCGATGCCTCTTTTAGCCGCTAACGGTTGTTAGCGCTTGTTTTGCGTCATGTCCCCCAGAATTCTTCATGACTCCGTCAGATTTGTCGAATGCAGTGGGTGGGAAGTCGTACAGGGTGGTATTTTTTTATATATACATATATATATTGTGCAGCCTTAATATGAATCATACTAATGTAGCGATTAATCGATGGTGATGTTTTGAAGTGATGAAGACAAACTAAGAAACACAGCTGCTCGTTCTGACAAAGCTGGGACACGTTTTCAGCTCAGAAGGGTAGGATTTTATGCTTTTATGTTGTCACATAACTCCCCTGGTGGGCAACATGATGTATAGCATCACGCAGTGTATGTAGCAAATATAACTAACCACTTCAGGACGTTTCACCCCCAGCGTTTACACTCAGACAATGAGAACAAAGAGGAATCACATTTAGTCAGGTTTTTTTTTTGCCTTAATCATCAAATACAATATTTACCACAATGAAGCAGAGATGTTTGCTGTGTACATTACTATGTACAGGCTGTCGGGTGCATTTCGTAACGTGCAATGTGTTAAGAAAAAAAAAACATATCCCTGAAAATGTGTTATCCTTATGGTTGTTCAACTCTGTGATAAGTTTTTCATGTTTGACACTTTGAGACAAATGTTGAAGGCAATCTGTAAGCGTAACACATTCTGTATCCTGTCTATCCCAGCGTGTTAGCAGGAACGATACAGTCGTAATATTGTGCTTATCTTGAAACATTTATATGTATTTTTTACAGGCTTTGTATAGAAAAACTAATGCTTTAAGTGGCAGGCATGTACCACTAAATCAAATCTATATCTAGAGCAGTATGTGTACTGTATTTAAACCTCACCCTTGCACTTTCCCCTCTAACAGGAATATTTGATGTTTGCAGTGAGCAATACGGAGTGGTATGAAAAGTATATTTCAGTCTGTTTCAAAAGCTACAGTAATACAGTATTTCCAGTTTTGTATAAAAGTGTATTCTTTCCTGATTACCTCTTGTTAATAAATCTATTCTTTCTCAGGGGGAGAAGGTTCTGAAGGCGATCAAATGTTCGTCTTACTTTGTCCACACTGAGTGCCCAATTCTTCATGGCATTTATTTTCTCATTGACATTGGTTTTCTCAAACCAAACTAATATTAGAGTAAAAAAAAAATCTTGGAAAAAAATTTGGTTCATCTTAAATGTCAAGACCAATGACAAGTCGATGAAGTTGTTGAAGTAAAAAAAAAACTAATTTGTTTCATCTTAAATGTCACGACCAATGACAAGTCGATGAAGTTGTTGGAACGTCTTCATCCACGTAAGTCTCAAAAATAGGGGAAAAAAGCATAATAAATAATAGTAAAAATTGATACTTCTCACTTCTTAAAGTGCCTGACTCTTATTTTATTTAGCTATAAATATAGATCATTTTTATAACAATTAGTTGTGTCCTCTTTTACAGAAAGTAATATGTGTATGAGACCAAAAAAGGTAAAATCTTGGTAAAATATTACAAATATTGTAGTAAAAAGGGTAAAATGTTGCAAAACTTGGCCAAATAAAAAGCCAAACCTTTGTTACATCTATGGCTCTTGGCGTAGATGAATCTTATTTTTCAACATCTCTCCAATAGATGGCAGTCGTCCTGTATTTAAATGAACTTCCTGCGGTAGTCTTCCAATGCTTTCCTATTGCCAGGACGTCACTTACATTTTACGACAATTCTTAGGTTGTTGGCGGCAGAGAACACCCGGTAGTGACGCAATCATTGGGACCAATGAAATGCTCGAATTCATTTCCTTGACACGAAGAAGGCGGGACTAGTTACAAAACATCCAACGCGCGGCGCCAACATTTACTTAAAGTGTTCGCGCTCGTCCGGCCGAGAAGTTGTTGATATTTATTTCCGAAGGAGAAGTCGTCTGTGAGTGTTCGCGGTCGTCCGGCCGAGAAGTTGTTGATATTTGTTTCCGAAGGAGAAGTCGGTTTTCTTGACTTCACAAAGTAAAAACATGTCAACGAAACAACTGAAACCCGAGGCTGTCATCGTGTTGGTAAAGTTTCTGTCCTTTATTTTTGTTTTTAACCGCATCATGTTTTGATATTGTAGCTTAATGAGAGTGTACGTGAGGCGACATAAAAACATGTAAAACGACCAAATGTACTGTATATTCACGATAAGCAGTTGTATTAGAATTGATTTTAAAGTTTCTCCAGAAAGTTATTTGCCCAGAAACGCACGTCATTTCGTTAATATTCTTTAGCTTTCAAATGAAGTGCAGGAAAAAAAAGTCTCTGTGTGTGTGTGCAGGTACGTAGGTAACAGTCGTTTTTATCGTACTTCCTTTGAGAATTCTTTAATTTTCAAACCCAGTGGTTCTCAAACTTTTTATACTGTGTACCACCTGAGAAAACATGGAGTTCTCTGAGTATGATGACCAACGTTGACCTATCAGCGTCCACCTCACAGGAGAGATGTTTATAAAGATGATTATGTTTTAATGTTGTGTTAATTGAGCATGGTCTGTTTCAGATTCATTCAACTGAAAATGTAAATGTGAAAATATGAAAGTTCCTCACGTACCACTAGAGAGCGCTCGTACCACAGTTTGAGAACCACTGTTCTGACCCATGAGACATTGATAAATCATTGTTGCCTTTTTGACGTCGTCGTTTATTAGATGTAAACTCTAATCTCTTTGCTGTGTTTTACATCGCAGGACAGAACTCCTGTAAATCTGGAGGTTTTCCAGAAATCTCCGCGTCGGTCCCTGAGGGGTAAACGCCTGCAGTACTCCCCTGATTCTCCCACAGCTGGAGCAGCCAAGAAGATACGGGTGAGAGACTCTCTGTCTCTGTGAGAAAACCACCTCCCAACATTAGATATAGAGTTCACAGACACTGATGAACGCTTTATTGTTCATCATAATGTTACACTCCACCAACATACCACCAGTTTTTTCACTTATTATTTACTTCATGTCAAGACTCTGACTGTAGAGAGCTTCACTTTGAAGTGTTTTATTTTTTTTTTATTTTGTTTCTTCTCTTCTATGTGAACTACAACTTTAGTCCACACTGGAATCGGTCACTTTATTGGTGTCTAACCTGCTGTTACCGTTACTGTTGCTGTTACTGTTACGTGTCTGTCCTGCTGACGGTCACTTTATTGGTGTTTAACCTGCTGTTACTGTTACTGTTACGTGTCTGTCCTGCTGCTGTAACAACTGAATGTGGTGGGAAATGAAGTCTTATCTCATTGTTGACTCAGCTGTTTTCTTGGCAGAGGATACAACCACAAAATGAAGAGACACAGGATTCAGAGCAGCAGCAGCAGGAGGAAGAGGAGAGAGGATCTGTGAGTTTATATAATTTATAATTTAAGTTTGTATTAAAGGGAGAATGATTTTTATAAGGATTAATGAGCTTTTTGAATATATAGTCAACAGATGATGCATAATTTATAAGAGAAAATGTGTGACTACAGTATATCCAGATTAAACAAACTAAGCTTTATTTATTACCTAAAGTACTCTGCACATATAAAGTTTTTTTTTTCTCAAATGTATTTTTTTTTTTTATTGCTTGTGTCATGCAGAATGGACCTGAAGGACTTTCAGAGTACGAACTGGAGCGAATGGAAAACATCAAGAAGAACAGAGAATTCTTGTCGTCCATAAATCTGCTCCAGGTCAGTGACCCTGTCGTCCGTAGCTCTTCTCAAACCCACAATGACTGAAGTTGTCTTTTTTTTTCTCTCTCTTCCTGCGTGTATGAAGTGAACGGTTACTTTGATGAATTTGTTTGTATTTGTGTGACTTCACTTGTCGCTCCTGTTGTGACCTGAACTGTTGTGTGTTTGTCAAAAGGCCAGTGAAGAACTGAAGCAGCTGACACGACCGAAGCCGTCACAGAGAGGCCTCCCCAGGTACAGTCCTCCAGGTTTTTATTGACTTCATTATAATTAAAATGATGCTCCTGCAAACCCATACGACGGGAGTTGAAATCATCTCTTTTTGCGCATCAATCTCTGAACAAAATGACTCCATATAAACATTAAAATTAAATTAAAGCTTTCATTTGACTGGTTAGATTTATTTATTTTTTTCAAGTCAATAAAAAGGATGTAGAGAAAGGCATCAGCAGATATATTGGTATATTCACCACTACAACATCAGTGTTTCTCTGCTCTTCCAAACAGGTCACAGTCTCACTCTGCCTCTGCTGTTCCAAACAGGTCACAGTCTCACTCTGCTGCTAAGGAAGTGATGCCGCCTCGCAAATCCCTCCGTCTTCAGTTCAAAGAGGCAGAGGTTTTGACACTCCCCCCTGAACCCAGGGGCACGCTTGTCTATGAACAGGTAAAATGTCTGACAAAAACGTTTAAATTTCAGCGTAAAAATCAGCGTGTTTATTTTTACGTTTTCCTTTGCGTTAAAGTCACCGCGGCAGAAGAAGACGCCTGGTCCCCTGTGTATGGAACCAGTCAACATGGAGGAGGGAAGCAAACTGCCCACCCAACTTCTTGACTTGTGCTCTGAGGTAGAACTCACTTTTTAAAGGGTCATTTCATGTTTTTACTTTTTAAACAGTAACAACAAAGTTGACATTTTATTTTAATCAGGAATCAGCAGAAACACGAACGGGGAAGTTGGAGTTGAAACAGTAAGTTTCTGTCTTAGTCTTTTTGTTTTTTATTAGTCCAAACCATGACTGAGACCAGATGTGACTCCGTGCTGGTGTCTGCAGGTACAGCTCAGGTCTAAAAGAGATGAAGTTGACAGAGGACCGAGTGGCCAAGGTGGTGAAGGATCGCGTCTTCTCTTTGGCCTTTCACCCCTGCAGCAGCAGCTTGTTGGTGGCTGCAGGTGACAAGTGGGGAAAACTTGGTCTCTGGAACGTGGTAGGTGACTTTTTTTTCCTTTTTTTTTACCCCGTCTGATAAAACACTGTCTGATTGAACTCACCTCAGTCTTTTGACCATCTGATAAAACACGGTCTGATTGAACTCTTTGTTTCCTGTGGTGACTGTCTTCAGGGTGGAGCCTGGGGTGACGACGGCGTCCTGCTCTTCGAGCCTCACACCCGCCCAGTGGGATGTGTGGCTTTCTCCAGGGCTCAGGCCACTCAGCTGCTGAGTCTCAGCTACGACGGGTCGATGCGCTGCATGGACGTCGAGAAGGCCGTCTTTGATGATGTGAGGCTTTGTTCATGATGAGTTTTCATCTCCTCCCTGTGTTCATGTAGCTTTTTCTTCTGGTTTTCCAGTTTATCATAGTTCTAGATCAGCAGGATTACGGCTACGCAATTCTGCACACCCTTAATGAACCAAAGGAGGGCGTTGTTGAGTTATGAATGTTCTGCTCTCTCTTTTTTGACTTTTTCTCATAATGTAATAAATGCCAGTGTGTGGTCCAGGGTTGGATTAGGAACAGTAGTTGTTTATGTGTGTAAACACTAAAAGGCAGCAAGGTGGTAAATAATGCTATTACCTTAGCATTTCATATGCTAATTTAGAAAAACACTTTAAATATCAGTTATATATTTTTTATTTCTGTTTAAAATTGAAGGCAACTACATCTGGTGGTAATCCTAATTAAACATTATGATAAAAAAAATCTTCCTCTTTTTGCTCCTCCAGGTTTATGACGTCGAAGACGGTCTGAAAACATTTGACTTCATGTCACACGACTGCTCCACGTTAGTCGTAGGAAACTGGTTTGGAGAAGTTTCCATGGTTGACAGACGTACACCAGGGTAATGTGTACCACCTGCTGGTGCTCTTTAGTATTACTCTCATGAGGTAGAACTAATCGCCGCCTCCACGTCTTCCTCAACAGAAACTCCCATGAGTCCCTGCACTCACTGGACACCAAGGGTCTGCGTTGCGTTAGCGTCCACCCTGTGCAGAAGCAGTTTTTCGCTGTAGCAGAAACCAGGTAGAAATGACGTCGTCTCACTCCAACACAAAGCTGTTTGATGAATATTGATTTTGAAGATTTGTCTTGTTCCTGCTGGTCCTCAGGGTTGTTAGTATCTATGACAGTAGATGTCTGAAAAAAGTCCACCCCAAACCAGTCTCCCAGCTGCACGGACACTCTTTAAGCATATCCAGCGCGTACTTCTCCCCTAACACAGGAAACAGGCTGATTACTTCCTGTATGGATGACCATATAAGGTAATGTCAGATCAGTCAGAAAAAATACTTTTGAAAATGTATTTATTTTTTAGAAAATTGAAATTCAGTTTGTCCTCGTTTTCCCTCTAGGATTTTTGACACCTCTGCAATGACAACTAATTCTCCTTTAGTTTCAAAAATCAGGTTCGTCCTCTGTTAATCCACTGACACCAGTCTGTGTTTGAACCAAAAACATCCCTGACCATGGCTTCGTTCTAACTTTCAGACACAACATGCAGACAGGCCGTTGGCTCAGCAAACTCTCGGCAGTCTGGGACCCCAGACAGGACGACTGCTTCGTAGTGGGAAGCATGTCAAGGCCTCGGAGTGTGCAGGTGTTCCACCAGAGCGGTGAGCTCTTACATTCATTCAGGGACAGTGAAAACCTGAGCACAGTTCTCTCTGTCACAGCGTTCCACCCAACCAGGAGCGCGTTAGTGGGAGGTAACAGTTCAGGACGTCTGCACGTCTTCTCTGACTGAGCTGAGCTGAAGTCGTGACACGGCGTTAGGTCTAGAAATGTCTCAGTGTTGTCTGTTTGTTCCTGTTCAGTTTCATCTCACACATCAGTGTAAAACAGAACGGTTTACAGTGAGAACACGTCGTTTCAACAATCTTTAACTGAGTTTGGAGACGTGTTCAGTTTGATGACGTTTCCTCCTGACCTCAGTCTCCGAGTCTGTGTTGTTGTTGTGTTTGTTGTTGTTGTGGTGAAGCCTCTTCTGTCCCTGTGGCTTCATGAATGGGGTTGAGCCTCTTTTGTCCCTGTGGCTTCATGAATGGGGTTGTTATCATGTTGACCTCTAACTTTGTACCTGCCAGTTTCTACCAATCATTTTTTGATCCATAACCAGACTCTCATTTGAACAGAAAGGTGTCAACTGTAACAGTTTGGTTGAATTTTGGCCGTTTTATTATAAACTTCATCCACGTTCTCTCTCTCTCTCCTTCTGGGAATATATTTAGGACTATTGAATGTATTTAGTTTCACGTTCTACTTGACATGTCTGCGCCTTTATTACCTTATCTTTTTTTTGTACCCTGTGGAATAATTAAATAAATAAATACATAAAGCTCCTTTTCAAGGTATCTGTACTCTCAGTAGTTATGGCACCACAAGATGGCAGTAGTGTATTTACAGTACAGTTGAGTGAGCTGTCCGAGGTGTGGAGCAGAGGTCATTGATGAGTCCTCAGGTCAAAGGTCAAAAGGCAGAAGAAGCTGCTGGTTGTCAAGAATAGATAATATTTATTCATAATAACTGCAGTGTTCAGTCAGTGGTCAGAAATGAGCAGCTTTGTCGGAGGTAATAAATACAGAGCGTACACATGCGTACAGTGACATATCCATGTGGAGGGGGGGGGTCGGGGAGGGGGTTGTGGTACAGGAAGCAGTTTACACAAATAAATGCTTCTAAGGCTTAAAACTAGTTTGTACAAGTGACCAGGAGAAAAGGCTGTTGGTGGAAACAGGAGAAACAAACAAACGGCTTCACGTGAACAGAGTCGCTGGTTGGCTTTGCTACGTCTGCTGCTTCGTCTAGTTTAAGGTCAAATAAAAAAAACTGAACATTGATGGCATTTTTTCTGAACTCGCTCCATACAAAATATACTGAGTGTTACTGACCCAGAGGAGCCAACCACAGAACAACACCTGCATATAATCATGACATTATTTTTTTTGTTATAACTAGAGCCAGCTTTAACCAGGTTTACATACAGTGTGTCACACTGCCATCTACAGGCAGGTTACACTCAAATGTTTAATACAAAAAAAATCTGTGTTTAATTACATTCAAAGATTTATTGCTCCAATTGAACTTTGTTTACATTTGCATTCTCCAATCGGTCTTTACAGTTAGCCGAGGCTAACAGTACAAACATTCATGTTCTCTTTGCCTGTATGAAAATAACACCACATATGAGTTTCTGCAAAAGTGATTGAAGAATAACTGACATTCATTCATCATCAAAATTCATCATTTTTTAATTATTTTTCATTTGTGAAAAATTCCAATTATTATTGTTTAATTAATCTACCAATAAATACATTTTCCAACCGTCCACGTATAAATAAAAACATAAATTAGTGTTGGTTTAAAAGGTGTTGATGCACGGTTGAATATTCAGTAGAGGTCATTGATGACCTAATTCATCCTGAAGGTAATAACAATTTTAACCTTTTGTTCTAAATTCTTAGCCCTCTCAAGAAATGACCTTTTTTTAATCTTCGTCTTTGAACGAACCATTCTGCTCTGATCAGTTGAAATGAAAAGAAGGTAAAAATAAAAAAAATATGCCTGATTTTTATTACTGATCCTGTTAGAAAAAAACACTTCAGGATCAAGAAGGCTGATTGGTTAGCTTTAGTTAGAAGTCGTTTAAAATAAATGCTAACATTTTCAGAAATTGTGTGCTCAAAATGAATGGTCGAGGCTGCAGACTGACGTCTGAAAAAAACCGCCGTCTGTCGCCAGGGTTTCTTTGGTAGCTGTGATGATTGAAGCTGGTTGTAAACAACACTTTTTGGCTCAAATGTACAGCTGATAACTCGTCAGGATCATTAAAGTTTCTACGTCTTTGGACAGTTGAACTGTAACGATGACACCGCTGACGTGATCTAAATATAATCTCTCTGTGCAGACGGTCCCCGCTGGTCACATGGACAAGTCTGGGCCCTAATTTACTATAATATAATTTTTAAAAACCCCTTTAACCTCATACTATGACTGCACTGACCAAATAATACAGTTCATTAGAAACTAGTCATTTTTGATGGTTAAGGTGCAGTTTGCAAAAAATGTTTGAAAGAAAATTTGAAAAAAAAAAAAAAAAAGGTAACAGAAGTCTGGCCGGTGCTTTGATTATCTCCTCTGGATCTGGATCTGCCTACTGGTCAGCGCCAGGTGAACATCTGCACCAGGTGAACATCAGCACCAGGTGAACATCTGCACCAGGTGAAACCACAAATATATATTTGAACTACATTCAAGTTAGATCACGGTCTAAACACTGTTTATCAGACCTTTAAAATATCTTTTTAAAGTTCTGATTCTATTTATAGGTTATTACTGATATTGACATTGACTTAGTGGTTGCTGGTTCAATCGCTTGTCTTTGAATCTTCATGACTGGTTTCCTCTCACAGTCCAAATTCAAACAGGAGCTCGTTTGGACACTGATGATGAGAGACGTGTGTGTGTGTGTGTGTGATAGTTGGTGGTCGTTTGTCTCTTCATGTGTCCCTGTGATGGACCGGGGACTGTCCAGGGTCAAGGCCATCCTCACCTGGTGAGGGCGCCAGTGTGACATGACCCTGGATTAAAAAAATGAAGCTGATAAACATTCAGTAGACTGATAGGTGGCTAAGGCGTTCCCTACTCTGACCTCTGACCTTCGAGGAGCAGAGAGTGAATTCAGTTGTTTTTTTTGGCAGTTAATAATAAACGTGTTATCTATAAATATATTTGGTTTGGGGGTCGACCATAAACCGTGACCACATGACCAGAGCAGTCGACTCTCTAACCCTATACTGTCTTAGATGGCGCGGCACGAATGACACAAAATAAAGGCATTATTAAAGGTGGCCAGCAGGTGGATCCTGTCCGTCTGTTTCCGCTCCGTGTCTGTGATGGTTAAAAAAAGATGATCTTTCCGTTCAGTGATGTGGAAAGGCCTTTAAGTGGCTGTTCCTGCCTGGTGACATGAACTCCTTGTGAAGAGCAGCTCAGTGGGAACTCCGCTGCCTTCACCTCTCTCTCTCTCTCTCTCTCTCTGACCTTTTCCCTGCTGTCCTGGTCTCAGCTCTGTTCGTGGACACCACTACGACGCTGTAGAGTCTGCGCTCCTCTCAGCGAGCTTCACTTGCTGATAAGAAAGCCTCCCATCCACTGTATCTTGCAGGCGAACCAGCGGCGCAGAGGGCAGAAGTATTCAAAGTGGAACTGTTGAAACTCCGGCGTCTTGCGGATGTCTCTGAGGAAGGCTATGTCCAGGTCCGACTCCGTCAGCATGATGAGCAGCAGCAGCAGGACGAACAGCAGTCCGACGGTGACCAGCAGCAGACGTAACACGCTCAGTATGAACTTGTTCAGCTCCTCCGCGCTGCTCTGCGGGGACTGCCGGCTCCTGACCATCCGCAGCGCTCTCCTGCCCAGCCTGAAGTCCGCCGCCTGCCCTTCCTTTAAAGTCCGTGCTCCTGGATTCTGTTCCTCATCGATGCTGCAGGGGGAGCCGTTGAGGTGGCGACCCGCGGGCGCATCCACGCCGTGCTCGGCCACAGGCGTAGGCAGCACGCTGTTCGAGGGGCTGTAGGCCTCCTCGGAGATGACCGCCGACGCACTCGCTTCACTGCCGTCCACCAGGTGGCCTCGCGAACCCATGAAGGAACCGCCGTGTGAGACGGAGCGCACGGGCGTAGAGTGAGCGCTGTCTCTGAGCGACTCCAGACCTGAGACAGAATGAAGAAGGAAGACGTTTCAGGTGGTGGAAGATGGAGGAGGAAATAATTAGAGATGTCCGATATTGTCCAAACACTTCCGATATCAACCGATACCGATATAACCCTGGTATATTTATTTATTTATTTATCTGTACAAATCAGTGTATGAGTATGAGATTAACTAAAGGAGCTGCAGTGCTGCCATCTAGTGACTTTCACAGTCACACATCATTTGGCGAAACTCAGGCATTGCGTTATCGTATTTTCATTATCGGAGGAAAAAACGATTCTCACAGATATTACATATTATACTAATATTGGGCCAATAATATTAGTCGGACGATATTATCTGACCCAGAAATAATAAAATCATTAAGTCTTAGAAGTAAAAGTAAGAAACTCCTATTTGAAATTTACTTTAAGTAATATTTAAAAAATACTGTAACAAACCAGTGAGTTGTATTGTCAGTCTTTTAACCCCTGCTGGCCTGCAGCGGTACTGCACATGAACATCACATGAACAGCAGCACAGGTTTAAAAAGTTCCAATGAACGAGTCTCACTGGTTCTCAGGAATGCACCACAGGTTTAAAAAGTTCCGATGAACGAGTCTCACTGGTTCTCAGGAAAACTCTTTGTTGCTAAAATATAATGTGTATAAGACAGAAGACGCTCCGGCTCCAGAGCAGCAGTTCCCGTTGACCTCTGACACTAATGTTCCCTGAAACACAAGAACAAAAGCCTCTGGGATCAGTGTCTGATCCTGGAAACTTCGACCAACACAAACCTCCTGCACTGACTTCTGTCACCACCTTCAGTTCAATTTAAAATCCAGTTTGTAACTTCTTCAGTTCAATTTAAAATCCAGTTTGTTTGTTGTTTTTTGTTGTTTTTCTTTTCTTTTTTACCTCCATTACTGCCTGACCGCCTGCTGCTGACTGGACGCCGTGCTGGAACACTCAGCCTGGGACAGGTCCTGGAGTCTAAGTTGGACGAACCCTCCGTTAGAGCGGGGACGACAGGCAGGGCTCCCAGGGATTTTCCCATGAGCCTCGGTCCCAGCGACAGCACGCGCACCTGAACGTCTCGATAACAGTGGTTGATCATTCGCAGGTGAACGTTAACTTTGGTCCTGATCCGAATCAGACACTTGACCATGGTTGGAGTTGAGTCACAGACGGACGTCGGACCGTGACTGTCGTCGACCGGACGCTCACTTCGTTTATCTTTATCTGCTGCTCATGTCGCTGACTGACCACGGGGACGGACGGAGGGTGAAAGACAAAGACAAGGCACAGGAATGTGGTGCAGTGGTGTCATGGACATGGACCTTCTCAGCTGTGGTCCGTGACACACACACACACACACACACACACTGCCTGTGCGCTGACAGCAGCAGCTATTTTCAGCTGGAGATATTAATACCAGTGGAAAGAGCAACAAAGGCAGAGCAACTGGACACAACAGGATGATTTGTTTGTCCTGTTGCCGCGGCGGCGGTGATGTGACATAAGGACTGAGCGACCGACTGTCAGTGATGAGAGGGTTCTGCTGCGAGAGAAAATGTCTTTGGTTCGTTTGTTTATTTTGACTCCACTCAGGCTGTTTGACCTGTGAGAGGTCAGAGGTCAACAGTCAGGAGACGGAGGACACGGAGTGTGTGTCCTGTACGAATGGACACCGTGACTTTGATCACGCTTTTAAATCCTCTGTTGAGGTCAGAAGTGATAAAATGTCTGTTCTACTGATGATGATGATGATGATGATGATGATGATGATGATGATGATGATGATGATGATGATGATGATGATGATGATGATGATGATGATGATGATGATGATGACCCGCCTGCCTCGGCCACAGGCGTAGGCAGCACGCTGTCCGAGGGGCTGTAGGCCTCCTCGGAGATGACCGCCGACGCACTCGCTTCACTGCCGTCCACCAGGTGGCCTCGCGAACCCATGAAGGAACCGCCGTGTGAGACGGAGCGCACGGGCGTAGAGTGAGCGCTGTCTCTGAGCGACTCCAGACCTGAGACAGAATGAAGAAGGAAGACGTTTCAGGTGGTGGAAGATGGAGGAGGAAATAATTAGAGATGTCCGATATTGTCCAAACACTTCCGATATCAACCGATACCGATATAACCCTGGTATATTTATTTATTTATTTATCTGTACAAATCAGTGTATGAGTATGAGATTAACTAAAGGAGCTGCAGTGCTGCCATCTAGTGACTTTCACAGTCACACATCATTTGGCGAAACTCAGGCATTGCGTTATCGTATTTTCATTATCGGAGGAAAAAACGATTCTCACAGATATTACATATTATACTAATATTGGGCCAATACTATTAGTCGGACGATATTATCTGACCCAGAAATAATAAAATCATTAAGTCTTAGAAGTAAAAGTAAGAAACTCCTATTTGAAATTTACTTTAAGTAATATTTAAAAAATACTGTAACAAACCAGTGAGTTGTATTGTCAGTCTTTTAACCCCTGCTGGCCTGCGGCGGTACTGCACATGAACATCTTCATGAGCTAATGTTAACATGAGAGTTTTTTTTGGTGAAAAGTGTACTTGAATGCACCACAGGTTTAAAAAGTTCCGATGAACGAGTCTCACTGGTTCTCAGGAAAACTCTTTGTTGCTAAAATATAATGTGTATAAGACAGAAGACGCTCCGGCTCCAGAGCAGCAGTTCCTGTTGACCTCTGACACTAATGTTCCCTGAAACACAAGAACAAAAGCCTCTGGGATCAGTGTCTGATCCTGGAAACTTCGACCAACACAAACCTCCTGCACTGACTTCTGTCACCACCTTCAGTTCAATTTAAAATCCAGTTTGTTTGTTGTTTTTTGTTGTTTTTCTTTTCTTTTTTACCTCCATTACTGCCTGACCGCCTGCTGCTGACTGGACGCCGTGCTGGAACACTCAGCCTGGGACAGGTCCTGGAGTCTAAGTTGGACGAACCCTCCGTTAGAGCGGGGACGACAGGCAGGGCTCCCAGGGATTTTCCCATGAGCCTCGGTCCCAGCGACAGCACGCGCAGCTGAACGTCTCGATAACAGTGGTTGATCATTCGCAGGTGAACGTTAACTTTGGTCCTGATCCGAATCAGACACTTGACCATGGTTGGAGTTGAGTCACAGACGGACGTCGGACCGTGACTGTCGTCGACCGGACGCTCACTTCGTTTATCTTTATCTGCTGCTCATGTCGCTGACTGACCACGGGGACGGACGGAGGGTGAAAGACAAAGACAAGGCACAGGAATGTGGTGCAGTGGTGTCATGGACATGGACCTTCTCAGCTGTGGTCCGTGACACACACACACACACACACACACACACACTGCCTGTGCGCTGACAGCAGCAGCTATTTTCAGCTGGAGATATTAATACCAGTGGAAAGAGCAACAAAGGCAGAGCAACTGGACACAACAGGATGATTTGTTTGTCCTGTTGCCGCGGCGGTGATGTGACATAAGGACTGAGCGACCGACTGTCAGTGATGAGAGGGTTCTGCTGCGAGAGAAAATGTCTTTGGTTCGTTTGTTTATTTTGACTCCACTCAGGCTGTTTGACCTGTGAGAGGTCAGAGGTCAACAGTCAGGAGACGGAGGACACGGAGTGTGTGTCCTGTACGAACGGACAACATGACTTTGATCATGCTTTTAAATCCTCTGTTGAGGTCAGAAGTGATAAAATGTCTATTCTATTCTACTGATGATGATGATGATGAAGATGATGATGATGAAGATGATGATGAAGATGTCTCTGTCTCTTCTGTTTTCCACATTAGAGGATTTTGTCGCTTTAATCTAAATACGACTGCAGAGCGACCTCTCCCTCTTTTGACCCTGAAAATAATGAGGTGAAGACAATAAACAAATACATTTGGACGCCAATTTAACCTTAATAAAAGTTTTTTTTTTCCTGTTTTCAGGCTGAGGAATCCAGAACAGATGACGAATGTCGTCAAACTAATATGATTCTTACTTCACTGAAGAATGTTTTCTGTCTAGTTACGGCCTTGACTACTGTTTGCTGAAGTCTGAGGTCAGCGGTTCTGAAAGAATTATAAAAACAACCATCACGTCTGTGTTCATCTGTTCGATTTTTAATATTTAAAAATTAAATTCTACCATTTATTTAACATTTACATTTAACATTTAACTTCCTTCAACTTTGTCTATTCACCTTCACCACTGAACGGTTCTAACAAAGATCCACGATAATCTGGAATTGAATTTAAAATATTTTTTTATTTTTTTGGGATTTTCAGCAATGTCTTTTTTTTACCATAATTGATTCAAACAAACTGATGTTTGTGTTAAATAACAGCACAGTAACGTGTGTGTGTGTGTGTGTGTGTGTGTGTGTCTGACCTTCCATGATGGAAATGTGAACAGCTCTCCGTCTGGTTCTCGGCACACTGGTCAGACGAGGTCCGTGGGTGATTGACGGACAGCTCCGACTCGGCACCATGCCGGCCCTGATGAAATATTTACACAGATTCTTGTATTAGTGCTGTACGTGGACCAGCGTGTGTGTGGACGTACGTGTCGTGGAGGTCATTTTTACAGCACCTGTGGATTTCAGGAGGATCTCTTTTAATTTTGGCACTTTGTTCCATGACCTCCTTCGCAACCTTTCCACTGATTATGGACAAAAAAAAAAAGAAGAAAAGTTGAGTCTGGAGTCTACCCATCACCATGGTAACAGACGACTCCGCGCTCACCTGTATCTGAAGCGACTGCCCTTGAAGAAGAGGTTACTACTGGACACGGTGCGGACTTGACTCGACTTCTCCAACCTGTCGTTAAAGACGGAGAAATTAAAAAAAAAAAAAAATCCATCAAGCTCTTTTCCAGATCAGAGTAAACATGTGCAGGTGAGCGCCCCCTACTTGAAGAAAGCCTGATTTTCAACTCCACACTTCCACAGATGTTTACAGGCCTCAGGTGTCGGTGCAAAGTAGGTCAGTATGATCTTCTTGTCCTGCAACATTTGAATGAGTTTTTATTGGTCGTCCAGGAACGAAAAAGGTAATAAAAACGGTGAAAACATAAAAACTGGATGAGATCTGTTAAAGTCAAATCATATATTCCTGATTGAACGTCACGGTTTAAGGCCCAGGACACACGGCAGCTGTGGACAGACCAGAGACTGAAGCCTCTCACACTTTGGTCTTCTGATTCTTTGACACCGACGACAAACTCTGGTCCTCAACATTTTTCCAGCTACTTCATGACATGGACAGTGTCTCCGTCTGTGGTCCGGACCACAGACAGAGACAGCGTCTGTGGCATATTAAATAATTGAGTTTTCATTATTCATACCTCCTGCTGATTTGCATATATATGGAATGTCTTTGCTTCAAACTTGAGTTTGGTCACTTCCTCCCTGAGATGAAGAGACGGGACAGAAGTCAGAGACGAAGAAGAGGAGGACGAAGACAGAGACAGAAGCAACGAGAGCAAGGACGGCACAGGGAGGGAGAGCAGACGGGGGAGGAGGGGAGAGGAGGGGGGAGAAAAAGGGACAAAAATGTTGAAATATTAATGTTGGCTGGAGGCAGATTGATTAGTCCAACAATCTCGCATTTCTGGGAATTCTACAAGATTTCAACCTGCAGGAAAAACAAGAACCGCTTCATATTTGACATTTGTTGTAAAAAATAATACATAAAAATGAATTTGACTCTGCATCATGTGAACTGGACCCACCAGGTGAGTAAATGGACCCTCCTGTTTCCTTGCAGCACAGTGAAGCCAAAAGGAGTGAAAGCCAGAAAAGCTGGGTTTCCAGAAACATCCTGGCAGAAACACATATACATGGATTGAGTTTTAATGTGGACAGAACTTTCCAGAAGCTGATTATTACAGAAGGGAACTGAGGAAATACAGTTTATAAAGTATAGTCATATTTTTGTGGTATTTATATGATTATTTTCATCATATCATAATCTTTAATTGTTTTTTAAGCTATTGACTTAAAAAAACAACTATTTTGGTGTAAAAATCATGTGGTCAAGATGTGTGGGCGTGTCCTCTTTCTCCCTCCTTCAGCTCCTCCTCCTCCTCCTCCTCCTCTGCAGCTCCAGGTGAGCGTGGTTAGCTCAGGTGTGGAGGTGAAAGGAGACGAAGAGCTGGAGCCGCAGGTGGAACAACCACTGAAATCATCAGGTTCCTTTTTCTTCTTCTTTTTCACCAGTCAACGTACAGACCAGTGATGAAGGTAAACTCAGCCCTAAAGAACCGCAGTGGCCTTGATGATGATGATGATGATGATGATGATGGTGTGGCGTGTGTGTGGTTCGTTCATCGTGTGTTTTTGTTTTTCCACCTTGCACGGGTGAGGGTCGACTCCGTACGTCTCCAGCAGCTGAGCCTTCTGCAGGAAGTTGAGCTCCGACGTCTCAGGACTCTGACCTCTGACAGAAGAAGAGGAAAACACGCTGTTAACGACTGGAACTCTGCGCTCCGGTAAGTCAGCGTTCGCCTCAAGTTGATGTTTATTTTATTTTATAAGTTTGTGGTTCATGATGAAAAAACCCAAACGCTGCAGACGCTCCACGTTTCACCTCAGTGCAGCTGATAAGAACTCTCTAACTTTTACCGTGTTTTCTGTGTCATGATTCACCACTGATGCTGTGTCACTGGGTGTGTGGTGGCGCTAATGAGCAGGGCATTGAACAAAGAAAAAAACTTGGAGTGACTGTTGGGATCAGGGAACAATGACAGGAGTAAAAAAAAAAAAAAATCTGTGAAACTTTCAGTAGAGCGTGGGCTAGGCTCTGTAGTGATTTGGGGCTGCATTTCAACTGAATATGTCTTAGCGCTCACTGATTCGCGTGTGCGTGTGTGTGTGTGCTCCTAAATGAACTTCATCTGAGTCGATGCTTTCTCAGCATTAATGTCTGGAGTGTGTGTGAGTGTCAGGTCTGTTCCAGGGGTTTATGTCAATAATCCAGTCTGTAGACTACAAATGAAAAAGTGATTAGTCAGCAGGTATGGAATTCCAAACCTATGGTTCTCCGGATTCTTCCATAGATCCGTTCTAAATATAGTTTCCAGCTTTTGGATCTGATCCAGAACAACAAAAACACGCATGTGTTACTGTAGTACTATCAATGTAGTACTGGAAATACTGGTGTCCTGCTAGGGGTCAGAATGACCTCTGACCTCTGACCTCTGCCCAGGCCCACAGTGTGAACACGTGTGAGTTCATGTGCAGGATCTTACATCAGCTCTGTCTTGTGGATGTCTGTGCAGGATCTTACATCAGCTCTGTCTTGTGGATGTCGGCGATCCTCCGCTCCAGCCTCTCTGAATGTTTTGGGAAGAACTGGAACTTGGAGCAGTAACCTTCCGGATGTTTCCCAGGGTCGTAGTCTCCGATCTCAGCTGTGAAGAAGACAAAAAGAAAGAAAAGTCTTTGGTTGAACCAGTGCTCTGTTCTCACTGACGAGGTCGTTCATGGACCAAGACATTTTAGCCTCAGGTCTCAAGCGCTGGTTTGTGTTCCAGTTCAGAGGCCGGTCAGAGGACAGATGTGGACGGCTGTGGACGTCAATGTCAGGGTTTTTATTGGCTGTGACCACAGTGGGAGGAACCTCAGTATATATTCATATATTTAAGAGAACGTGTACAGACTTGTACAGATCACTGTACTGTGGTACCTTGTAAGATGTAGGCAGCCAGCAGGGCGGCGTCGGAGGTCTTACACAGGAGGCGGCCGTGGTAGAGATCTCTCTTAACTTGAAGGAAGACCAGATATCTGTGAAGGACACTTTATTGTGAGTGAGTGTGTGTGTGTGTGTGTGGTTCCACACTGTGGTTCATGAAGCTTCACTGCTGTCGTTCTGACACGACACACGTTTGTTTCCTGCTGTGAAGTATTTAATATTCATGATTTTGCAGGTCAAACATTTGAATGATTTATTTTTCTAGGATTATTAAATAAATGACCGTATATACAGTAACCCCAGGTTTAGGGACCGCTGTGGGGAAAACCAGAGGTCCATACCAGGTGGAACAATGTGAACAACAGGAATTTATGGTCTTGTTGTTTAACATGAAACAGAGTCGTCCAGTAGGAGCACGGCTGCAGGCGCTGGTCCTTTATTTTTTTTAGTTTATTAAAAATTAAAAGGTAATAAAAAGATATTTATGTTGTAATTTGTCATCGATTGACTTTCCTCCAATCATCATCCTCGTACTGTTCACAGAGACAGGACAGAGACCTGTCTCCTGACTCTACGGCTTTAAAACCACCACAAAAATCAACAGAAAAAGAGTTCAGCCGTTGAAGTTTGAATCACGTTATTAATTTAGTTATTTAGTGAAATTAATCCACGTCCAAAAGGATTTTTTTTTTTTAACATTTATAACTTTGCTGAATAATTGAACGACTGCTGTGTGGAGTTGATGGTTTGTGAAAAGGGAAGTAAACAGGTTCAAACGTTGGAGTTTCCTCCGTCCGTCTCGTCCGTCTCGTCCGTCTCTAACCTCCTGCTCTGGACCTCCTGGTGGTCTCCAGGTCTTACCTGGTGATCTCCTCCTTCAGGGCAGCAGGGTCAGGTGGGTAGAACTTCACCCGTAAACACATGGTGAAGGGCGGCTGGGCTGGAGAACAGCAGAGAACCACAGTTCCGTCTGTTAAACCTCATCCTTTAGGTTTAAAGTTTTTCTTCACGTTGATAAACTTTAAACTCGTGTTTGGATCAAATACTCACATTTTAACTGTTTGGCAATTGATTTTGAAAACTCCAACCAGTGCTGGAAAAGACACAGAAACAGAAGGACATCTGAATCATTTTGTCTTTTGACACCGTCCCTTCTGTCCACTCAGCGTCCACCGACTCTGACCGCGCAGCGACAGCTGAGAATGAATGTGTTTCTGTCTTTTCTCAGGAAAATAAATGACATTTTTAAAGCTCGCTCTAATCGGCGTCACAACGACGACACACTCAGTAATGAGCTGGGGCATTATTTCTTTGTCTTTATTTGTCGTCGTCCCCTCCCCCCCCAACACTTCTGTGTATATTTCCAGTCCGACTGTACCGTGAGCTAACGTTTGTTCCACATTGTTTATTTTAACGATTGATTTTCCAGGGTAAAAGCCTCATCAGTCCAGTTAGAGCTGACGCTTCACCTGTCGCTGCCTGTGACACTGGAGCGTTAACGTGCTCCAACTGCTGACCTGCAGAGAGAGGGGGGGGGGGGGTCTGGGGGGGGGGGGGGGGGAGCCCCTTTAGATGTTGGTTTTTTTTCTTAAAACACTACGTTTTCTTTCAACATTTTGGTGAAGTTTCTAGGTTTTTCCTAAAGACGTTTCACTTCTCACTCTTCAGTTCAGTGACATTTTCAATGAACTCCTGTAAATGTAGATCTTTACAAAAGGAGAAAAGGGTGAGAGACGGGTGAGGAAAAATATATAATAAAAAACCAGACTCACCCTCTGTTTGTCGGGGTCAACATATCTGATGCCAAAATAATCCCTCTCCAACAGGTTGAGGTGATGGCAGATGAGGTCAAACAGGTACTGTCCTTTGGCATCTCGCTGGAAAAGACAAAGTCCAGGACAGTTGGACACAATTATCCACCCATCATTGAGTCAATCACATATAAATATATTTGTCAAAGCTTCACTGTGACAGAGTCCTGTGTCAGATGTCAGGACAGTCGACCCAGAGCTCTGTTAATATTTCAGGATCCTCCAGGGAGACGTACAGTCTCAGGACAATCAAATATTGATATTACTGCAGCAGTGAAGACACACAGAGAGGACTGGAAGGACAAGGTGAAGTGAAGCAGGTTGATAAATCACCGTTAGTGTTTTCTCTGTGAGAACGTTTCTTCTTTTAATGAGTAAAACCCAAGGACACGTCACGTCACGTCGACCAGACGTGATTCAAACTGAAAACCTGTTTATGTGGAAACAGAAACCTCGTCCTGAAACATCAGCAGCAGCAGCAGCAGCAGCAGCAGCAGCAGCAGCAGCAGCTTCACTCAGTGTGAAAACATGATGTAAAACGTCGTCCTTTACAGTCCAGTTTAATTGGAACATTCAGAGAGAGACGTCCACTCGACCACAGAGTCATTACAGACGGGTCAGTAATTGGACTTTTAACGACAAAGTCGGTGAAATCTAATTCTTAACCAAGACACTGACATTTAGTAGAATAGTTATTGTCTCCCTGGGTCGTTCACACGCCGGACGTGAAATGAAGATGTTACGTCTGGTTAGTTCTGGTGCCGTCAACAAAATGGAGTTCATCTGCAGGTGAAAGGTCAGCATGGAACGATGGTTTCAGGTTCTGGAAGCAGCGTTGAGACAATACTGTGATAAATATTTATTATCTACTGGATGAGAACGGATGTGTTTGCTTTTCACCTCTAAACATCCTCAAAATATCGTTACATGGACACTGCAACATGATAGGCTTACTGTCTAGACCCTAAATCACTGACTCTTGACTCTTGACCTTCACACTGTTCTCTGTGCCACAGTCAAATGTCACGACTGCAGGTCACTGAGGTCACTGAGGTCACTGAGGTCACTGAGGTCACTGATGCTGGAAACTTCCAGTCAGATCTAACCCAGGAGGTTAAACCTGTGGTTCCACACCAGTGACAGAGACGTGAGCTGGACGTGGTTGAGCTGCAGCAGTTTTGTCGCAGCAGTAGTTCAGAGTCTTCTCACTCACCTTCACCAGCTCAGAAATCCTCCCCTCCGTCTCTGGGCGTCAGACCAGCAACCACAACAACGACACTTCCTGATACACACGTCTGCAGAGTGTGTACTTGTACATGCTGCGGGGGTATTTCTGTCCCATGAGTACTATAAATCTTGGATGGCAGCTCTGGGTTTTTGTTTTTTATTTTTTTGGTACAGGACACAACAAAAGAACCGACTTAGCTTTTTGGAGGAGACGCGCTGTTCACGCGAACGGCACAGAAACGCCGACTCGGAGAAATTTAGATACATGAGAGCGGAATGTTCCTGTTAATTAAGTTGACTCTGTAATGAGCTACAAACACACGCTCTGCCCTCGTCTCACCCTCGTCTCACCACTGTCCAACTCCGACTCTGAAATCAACAACAAAAATCAACAAACAGTCTGCAGTCAGAGGACGGCTGCTGTCCAACAGCTACCGTCAGAGGACGCCTGCTGTCCAACTGCTGCAGTAACTGAACTGTTGATGAACTGTTATAACACTGTTATAACGGTGGTGATTAAAGGGCGGTCGACGACTCCACTGACGCACAGAACCATTATTGATCTCAGGTGGAGTTCTTCACTGTGATATACTGTTAGTACTGTTAGCTGCACACAGGGGGCAGTATACTGTGTGTTGTCAGTTGGTGCTTGGTTTTACTGCTTTTTAGACAATAACTAAAAGATCTATGGTTTGTTCCAGGGTCCTGGGATTCCAGGGTGTAAAAAGTTTCTCACGGTTTGGTCGATGCTGGGCAGAGAATTAGATCGCAGCTCTCCTGGGATTAGAACCTCCTTTGGTGTCGTAATCTGGGTTTGTGTTTAGAGAAATGGAATGATTTCTACCGTCTTCAGCCTCACGTGTCGTTGTCTCCACACCTTCACCGTCGCTGCTCAGTCAGACGTCACATCACGACTGGAATTTGAGTCCGGCGTAAATAAAAAGTACATTTCCCAGCGTCGTCAGCTGTTAGATGACATGACACTACAGTGTAGCGGTGTTTTATTTCATCCTGTCAGCAGGACGACGGGACGAAATTATTACAATCTGGAAATACGGCTACAACTCCTACAGCTACACACTCTACACACCCACGAGGAAGACGTAAAATAATGAAACCTCACGAGTTAACGGAGGAAAATATAAATAATCTGATGGAAAAATCTGGTTTTTAAACCGTCAAAAATCCAAAAGTCTGACTTCATCCTCATCCTTAACAGACACATGTTGGTCTGATGTGTTTGGCCAAGGCATTTTCAGAGTCTTTCTGTCACGACTGCGTTCAGGAGATGAATAATGTTTTTATTTTTACTCATCACGTTTCCAGACCTGCAGCTCAGTGGACTCAAGGTCAATGTTGGTTTTTTTTTAATCACAAACAAAAGGTCAAACTGTGGACAATAAAACCAAAAACCGTTGTTTGATATTTGTGAACTTTAAACCTGCAGCTCCAGCGTTGGTGCAGCAGTGACATCACAGCCTCTAATCAGATCAACGTCACTGAGACGCCACTGTATCAAAAACCAACAGAACCAAAGCTTCTGTTGGTTCAATGATAAAACACGGAGCAGGTGATGAATCACAGAAGTCAGAAACAGAACCACAGAACCACAGAACCACAGCACCACAGAACCACAGAACCACTGCACCACAGAACCACAGAACCACAGCACCACAGAACCACAGTACCACAGTACTACAGTACCACAGTACCGATGGAAATATAGAAGGCCTTGTTGTTGACGCTTGTTTCACGGCCGTTGATAATAACAAATAACAATATACGATATAATAATGACCTTGGAAAGAGATGGAACCAGGCTCTAAATTCACAGTACCTGTGTAGTACTACAGTATGTGTGTAGTACTACACTATGTGTGTAGTATCACAGTACCTGTGTAGTACTACAGTATGTGTGTAATACTACAGTACCTGTGTAGTACTACAGTATGTCACAGTATGTGTGTGATACCACAGTATGTGTGTAGTACTACAGTATGTGTGTGATACTACAGTATGTGTGTAGTACTGAGTTACTGTATATTACTTCTCCCTTGATTTCACTTCAACAACAGTGGAAACGACTGGTTAATTATTAACGCTGTGTGTCTGGACTTTAATAACACACACTCTCCGTCGTGATTGGCTCTCCTGGAAAATGTTGACTAAAAACACAACAGTGCTAATCTTCCTCTTCTTCCTCTTCTTCTTCCTCTTCTTCCTCTTCTTCCTCTTCTGTTTTGAGGTTTGACGTTTCTTATTTAATTCTATTTATTTTTTTCTTGTGAAAATCAACAGTTGAACGACGGCAGTCTGAACATAAACCCGAAGCTAACGTCTGTTCAGTTCAGTAAACACAACGGTCTGAGGTTTGAATCCTCTTTTTTATTTGCAATTTTGATTTAAAAAAAAATTAATATATTTTTGAATCTGCTGTTGCAATTCAATTTTGATTTAAAAAAATATTAATATATTTTTGAATCTGCAGAATATTTTCAAATTTACTTCCCAGAACCACTTTTTTGGGTTTAAGTTGCTCGTGTTTTCCATAGTTCCATAATCCACAGCTGCAGGTTTTTAACCCCACACACACTGACGTGCGGTAACGCGGTGGTGGAGCGGTAACGCGGTGGTGCTGCGGCCGTGCTCTGTCTCTGTCTGTTTTAACTGGACCCTGAAGTCTCCACAGATGATTTCCTTCTAAAAACATGTTTACCACCAGCAGGCCGCCGTCTTATTGTCCGTGAAGTGGAGCGGTGGGAGTCGGTCAGGCCGCTGCTGCCACCGCTGCTGCCACCGCTGCTGCCACCGCTGCTGCCACCGCTTCACCCGCTCCGTGGTGTGAATCCTTGAATCAGATCTCGGCCTGTGCTGCTCTGAGAGAACAGCAGATCCACAGAGGAATCAG